TATATTAAAATCTTAGAGAAATTCACAAATAAAATAAATACTTTCTCTTTCCGTGGAAACCCAACCTTTTTGTGATTTTATTTTAGTTTTTAATTAAAGCAACGAAATTCAAAGAAACGCCAAGAACTAACTGTGGAGTGTTAATGTTTAAAAAATATTCTTGTGTTGAATGGGTCCGACAATGGGTTTGTTTTCGGCTGAACTATTGTTAGATGCAATATAAACAGAGATTACAATTGATAGGACAAATGTTTATAGGAGGAGGCTAAAAAAATCTTTCCAATTGTTCAAGGTCGATCAGAGGAAAAGTTCAACATCACTATTGATCTAATTTTGATTTTCTCCTCGTGAAAAGGGTTTATTAAAAATAATTCATTTTAAATAAGTAATAATGTACATTTTTTGCCTAATTATTTGCTATTTTTTATTTTTTTCTCTAATTGCGTGTTTTTCCGTATCATGCCCTGGATTTTAGTTTCCTGGCTGGGCAGAAAATGGCTCTTGCTTCAAAGGCAGTATGCCAGGAAAGAATCATTGTCTACTAAAATCGTTAGCCTCTAACAACACGTAACTTTTTCTATTATTAAGCTCTGGCGAAGAGTCGTGGGCGTTTCTTCACATTCTTAATGTAATTATATTAATGCATATATTTTTAAGGTAAGTCACGGTACTATGATCATCAATAATATTCGAAATCATGGCGCAAATTTAAATCCAATCCATTTATGTTTTAGTGGTCAATTGACCAAGTTCTTTCAATTATTCTTTTTATGGAAGGTCTTGGTTGAAAAAAAGTCAGTGTCACGAGCGGGATTCGAACCCACGACCTTCGGTTAAATACGCCGCTGCTCTACCACTTGAACTATCGTGATTTCGATCCTCTCGGANATTAATTTATCTTTTTATGTAAGGTTTTGGTTGAAATGGAAAAGCTAGTGCCACGAGCAGTTTCGAACCCACGACCTTCGGCTAAATACGCCGCTCCTCTACTACTTGAGCTATCCCGAATTCGATCCACTCGTACACCAACTCTCCATCTCAACCTGCAACCTTTCAAATTCTCCCTCTTTTTGCCATTTTCAAATGTCATGAAATCAGGATCCGATTCCACAGCGACTTATGAAGTAGCCACGGGGAGCTATTAGTGAAGTGGTACCTCTTTTTACTTATAAATTAATCCATTTATCTTTTTGTGGTCACTTGACCAAGTTACTTCTTTCAATTAATTATTCTTTTTATGGAAGGTTTTGGTTGAGATAAAAAAAGTCAGCGTCTTCAATTATAAACAGTGTTTTAATTTCGGTGTTAGCTCCATGACCAAAAGAAAGTATGCGTTATTATAAAATAAATAAAAAAGATTTAAAAAATTTGTTCTTTTCTCATCACTAATATTTGATAAGGGGCTCGGCAAAGGACAGGCTGTTTGGTCGAAAACCTCTGAATTCTGTTATTATGAATCCTTGGAGCCTTAGGGTGAACTCATTGCTGGGAGTTTGTGCGAAGATATTGCCTATGGGCCACATAAATAGCGCAGTATTCCCAGTTCGTATTATGTCCATAGAGTGGACGAACGGCTCCTTCCACTCTTTGCCTTCGACGAAGTCGTTCAAGTAGACGAACATTTTGTCTTCGACCGCGCTTTATAAATATAAAATTCGGCAATCTCCTTACCCGCGTTGAATTTTTCTATTCTTCACCCCCTAAGTTGTTTACTGGACGGAATATCTTATTTTTAAAAGGGATGTTGAAATGATTTAACACGGCTCCCTATTCAACTCGGGTCATTCGGGAAGAAAACAAACAACAGGGGAAAGAGGATTTCAAACAAACTCCTATTAAAACCATCTAGTGGATTAATAACTGCAAAAAAAATCTTGGTATAAATTTCATTAAATGCTTTCTTAATTAAATAATGTTGAGCAAACAGAGCGGACACTTAAACCTCACAAATTAACAACAAAAAATATCTCTAAGCAGACATCAGCATAAAAATTGATCTTTCTATGTTCCAGTAAAATTGTTTATAATTATGTTTATAATTAAGGTTTTTTAGTTGGGATAAAACAGTCAATGGCACGAGCGGGATTCGAACCCACGATCTTCGGCTTGATACGCCGCTGCTCTACCACTTGAGCTATTGTGACCTCGATCCACTTGGACACCAACTTCTCATCTCAACCCCACCTTTTGAATTTTCCCTCCTTTTTGACATTTTTCAGTCGGTTCGAATCCCGCTACTATATATTACAATACATTACAATTAATTAGTCAAGCGGACCACGAAATTAGTGAAATTATGTTTAGAGTTAAGAACTATAAAACAATTGACACACTTTTTTCCAAAATTAAAGATCCCACATCAGTAACAAATAAGTCTGATGTAATTTACAAAATCAATAGTTAAATAGTGGCAACTTACATCGGAATTACTCCCAACATCTGGATAAGAGAGTACAGCAAAATATCTATGATTGCAAAAAAAAACAAAATTCTATAACACTGGCTATCCACCATTTTGAACACCAATACAATTTCATTAAAATCGGACTATTATTTCCATCCAACGAGGTTCATTTCTGACAAATAATTTTGTGCATTTTCTTATATAAATATTTTAATGGTATATATTTCGTCATTAAAAAACTACGTTCCTCTTCTTTCAAATGGCCCCTTTTACGTCACAATCCTTTTAGCCATTTTTGATTTACAACCTTTTCAATCNGTTTATAAAATATTTTCTTATATAAAATATTTTAATGGTATATACGTCATTAAAAAGCTACTTTCCTCTTCTTTCAAATGGCCCCTTTTACGTCAAAATCCTTTTAGCCATTTTTGATTTACAACCTTTTCAATCAAAATTCAATTCCGATGACGCATCCTCAAAAATCGGAAAACATTATATTGAGCTGGTGCAAAAATAATGCAGATGTTGAAAAGGCAGTCAAAATTATTTTTAATTTTTATAAAATAAAGAAAATCCATTCGAAATATTTTCCATAACAATCTCTACTTCTTTGCCAAAGTGTAATAAGCGCTTTTAATTCTCTGATATAAAAATATTTATTTCAACTCACAATAAAGTCTTGAACGTTTTCGGCTTCTCCGCCTTCTCTAAAAACTGTATCTTTCAAGAAGTGAACAAAATGTCTAAAAAAGTGGAAGTTTATATTCGGGAGGTCGAGTGAATGTGGAGGGTGCGGTAATGTTTCATATCCTAAGTCCTGAAGTTTCCGCAGGGTTGGCATTGTGACATGTGGCCTGTCGTTATTGTGAAGACGAATCGGCCACTTACAGTTTACCGAGCTGGACAAAGATGTTGCGGTTTCCCATGCATTTTGTCAATTTCTTGGCAATATTTATTTGCCGTGATAGTTTCATCTTTATTTAAAAAATTGTAGTGAACAACCCGAACAATACACCACCAAACAGTCATCTTAACTTTTTTGAGTGCAGATTTGGTTGCTGGAAGTATTTTGGCGCTTCATCCTTGTCCAACCACTGACCCGTACGCCTCCTGTATCGTACAAAATCTATTTCTCATCGCACGTGATGATTCGAGAGAAAAATGTATCATTTTGATGGCGCAACAGAAGATACGTGCAAATTTCAAAGCACCGATTTCTTTGGGCTTCGGTTAGTTCGTGCGGTCCTACTTGTTGAGATTTACTCACCAATTTGCTCCAGATGGTCGATACTAAGTTCTTCAGCAATTTCCCATGTTGTCCTACGTGAAGGCACCACAACGGAAGGCCTACCGCCACCTTCCCTGCCTTCGTGATCGAGATCTCCAAGACGAAATCCCTGAAACCATAGCTGCACCGTGCATTCGCTAATGATTCCCGTCCACCGAGTATTGATAGTATTGATGCTACGCGCGGTTGGGTCGCACTTCTCCCAAGTTTAAATTCATAAAAATAAATTTGACGAAAATCTAGTTTGGACATATTTAATTTCGCAGGTCCTCACTCTTATAAAATTCAATATAAACTAAAATGTTTTGTATAAAAGATAACAGTTAAAAGTATGTATTATAATTCATAAATTAGATTTGAAGATTTAGCTTTTTTACCTGACAAGCACGTGCGAAAATAAAACAAATTTTCGAAACTTGCATTAATTTTGCACCAACGCAATATTTAGGAATTTCTAAAGGTGCTAAAACCAAATTTCATATAAGTTTCACGAAAAAATTTATGACCTGCTTACTTGAAAAATATTTGTTTTTAAGAAAGTTTTCGTTTATTGATAAAATTTGATAGCTTTTTCTACTATATTTTTATTGCAATCTACATTAAAAAAATTCAGTAAAATGATATATTCGCACAGTTGATTCGACCAAGTAGAATGGCTAAATGAAAATATTAAAAAACGGAAAATTTCAACTCTCATATTGTTTTGGTGAAACCAGGGCCTATTCACAAGAAGTGGCGGATGCGTGCCAGTTATTTTGGAGTGTAGCATCACCAAAAAAATTTGGTCAGTGACACACCAAACCGGTCGTCCCCTTTCTAGTCCTAAGCCAATTTAATTTAGTTCATTGCAATGGAGTAAACGAAAAAGAAATGAAAAATAAACATAAACAAGCAGCGTAAGACAAAACTCTGAACATAATTATTTGGAGATCGTGAGATGCGGTCTGGTGTGTTGTAGGTTTTAGAAAAACATTTTCTTTATCGAGCCAACGTTTCGATCTTTATTGAGATCATCTTCAGGGCTGGGATTTACAAACATTGTTTACATTTAACAATACATTTAGGATGTGGAAAAAAGTGAATTTATACAATGCAAAATATATTTTTTATATTCAATCAAAATATTTCTACTCACTCAAAGTGTTTGTCTTCTGTGTAATTGTGCCATTCTTGCATGTCGTGTTGAGAGTCAAGATGACGAGAGTGACCCCCCCCCCCTAAAATCCTCCACCACCCCCTCAAAAACATTATTTCATATTCATTTTATGTTATCGATGAGAGAGAAGGGAAAGCAGTCGTCATAAATGAAATACAAACTTTATAAAAGATTTATTAATTTATACATTCAGGTACTTCATTTACAAAATAGACTCAGACCATAATACAAGTGCAATATTTGCTAAAATTGTCTTCATCAAAATTATATCAAAAAGAACTGAATGGTTTATTTGTGCTTCGATTACATTTTGTTATACGCTATTGAGAAAATAGAAAGATTAAAATCGGCTTTGAATAATATACAAATTCTCCTATCACAGGCACGGAATTGTCTCATTTTTCTGAATTGTTCATTTCCTCGACAATGCACTCGAGTAGCTCTTTTTGCTCGTTGCAGAAATATTTCCAGAGATCGCTTTCCAGTTCGATAATAGCGTCCAGTTCCTGGCACTGGCATGCCATGACAAGAGATTGTAAAAGGAAAAACAGCTCTTCGCTTAATAACGATTCTGAAGTGTAGAAATAATCATTTTTAATAAAATAATATTATAAAAATTGTTAACAAAAAATTACTTGTTTTTTGATCCGGTGCACTAACCCATGTATACTTCTCGACTAATTTGGCTAATTCTGGTGATATTGTCTGAGGCGTTGGCCTCAAAAGTAGTATAAGGAGAACTCTCGAAATTTCACATCTTTAAAGGGAAAAAAATTATAAATTAACAACATTTATACTATGACAATATTGAGTTTAAATTTCTCATCTTTAAAAAATAAAAAATATATAAATTATGAAAATTTATAGTATAATGATATTTCACTCAGAGGCAAAAATGTGGCCACAGATAAAATATCCCATTTGTTGTTTACACTTGGATTTTATAAATAAATCTTTGAATAGTAAATCCCTTCTTTGTTGGTTTTTCCGTAAGCTTCTTTCTAACATTCTGGCGGTTTGATTTTTTAAGTTGTACAGTTCAACTGTGAGTGATAGTTTTAAGTGCTAGAGATTGAATTGGAATCATAGCATTGTCGAAAGATGAAAGAAGTCAAACAGCCAGGGTGCCAATAATGCCAGGGTTAACATACCCGGAACAACTGTCCAAATTCCATCCCTACCAAGGCTCTGGAGGTTACTCAAGAAGGCATGTATCAGGTCACCGCGTCACACCTCAGAGAGATGATAGTTTTATTGTTGTACTCTGTACAATGTACTCTGTAATTGACATTCTACCCAGTTGAGATAAAGCAGACTTCAACAAGTTAGAAATATTAATGTCAGTTTATGCACCATAAGACTTTCTGTAGCTGGATTACATGAGAGAAAGCCTGTAACGGGTCAAGAACGTCTCGGCACAGAACAGCTTGGTTAAGTTTTGTTTTTTTAATTGGTATGAGCAAGATTGGATTAAAAAAACTTAAAATATTGTTTTCAGATAAGTCAAGGTTGGTTTGAGGTCTTCTGAAGGCCAAGAAAGGTCTGAGAAGAATAGGATAGCCATACATCCCTGAAACATTTCCTCTCCAGAGAAGCGATGGAGGTGGTGGTGTTATGGTTTGGGCAGTCATTTTTATGGAAGGTCACACGAACTTGATCTTCATCAAGGATTCACCAACAGCTGCATGAAGATGTGTTGTCTAAAGAAGTGGTTCCTAATGTGCAACTGATTGGCGTTTTATTTTTATGCATGACAATGCAAGGCCCCATTCAGCTAAAATTGTTTTTGACTACTTGTAATGGGCTTTAATTAAATGTTTGGAGTAGATGTACTCCTGACTTAAACCCTATTTGGGATGAGTTGTCAAAGTGGATAAAAAGCGATGCCAGAAAATTTGTAGTTATTAAGAATGGCTCTGTTGGAGGAATATGAAAATATTCCACAAAACTTCATAAAATCAATGCCACATCAAATGCAAGTGGTGATCAACGCAAGAGGAGGAAACACTCTGTAATGAATTGAATATTTTCTTCAATGTTTCCTTAGGGAATTTTTCGATAAAATTTTTTACTTTAATTTTTTTAACTTTTTTGACAATATTCAATAAACAAACACAAAATTATTGCTAGTATTAAAAAAAAAAATATTTCATATAAAACATGATTTAAATTTATTTTCCATCATTGGTATATAAACTGATCAGACTTGATGGATAATATTGCTATCTGCAAAGTAACTGCTTAATTTGAAAGTTCAGGCTCAGGCATTAGCTAGGACTAAGAAACAACTAACTTCTCAAAGCTCAAACTTCTCCTCACTGAAGATGCTGCACATTTGAGTAATGTAAACAAAAAACCATGAGTGAAGATGTACCCAATAACAAACCAAGTGCCAGTTCAATAAGTGTTCATAGAATAGCTCACAAATACTCACCATGAATATTATATTACATTGAAAAATATGAAAATACAGACCTGACTAGAACATCGGTGTAAACTCCAAACGGGGACAAAGTAATTTTTTGTACTGTTCCAACCATATCAGTGAAAACCGACAAAGCTCCATGATAATCACCTTGAATTTAATAATACAAAAAGATTTCTATATTTTTCAAACTGTGCAATCTTAAAAAAGCCTGAACTTACCGGCAGAAATTTTGACCGAGGCGAGCTTTCCTTGTGCATTGAGCAACATCGGAGGCGAATGTTGTAAGAGGTCACACGCTCTGCTCAAATACATAATCGCAATGTGCGGCGATGATTTTCTCAGCGTTTCGCCCATTTCCAGGCAGAGTGAAACTGACAAGGCATTGTCGGGTCCCCAGAGCTTCTCAGCCTGTCGTAAGCAGCTGACCGCACCCTTTAAAACGTTTATTTGAAAATCGGACTTTTACAAAGTTAACATCACAACCTGTAAGTGTTCATCACAGCCGATTATGTTTCTGCTGTCGGCCTGGAGGAAAAGCCGTCCTGCTTTGACTAGAGCGGTCGCTTCCTCGTTCGGGTGCTCGAGTGAAGATTCACACTTGGCTACGGCCAACCAACTCAATGCAGCATACTGCGGAAGGTCGAATCTCTCACATTGTGCAGCAAGCGATGCTGTAAACCATATGATTAACTTAAATTAAGAAAAAATTAAAATAAGAAACACAATATTTTAGCAAAATTAAACAGAATAGTAAAAATTAGTGTCACCTTTGCTATTGGAACAATATTAAAGGCATCGATATATTTGTATAATACTGGTTGTAAATGAAATAATAATAAATATTATATACAGGGTGAATGTGTTGAAAATTTCAGGTGTTTCTACCACCACATGCAACAAAAAACTTCCTATAAACCCCTGTCCAAATCTCAGTAAAAAAGTAAGTTCAGGTTTTTTTCTCTTCTTTTTTCGACTTAGGTCCACTAAATTGCTTATAAACTTTAGAATTACTGACTGCAGAAAAATCTATCAAGAAAAGTTATTTACATTGCAAAATTGATGGAAAAGTTCTGCATGAAAAATTCAGAAAAAACAAAAATGTTGAAATTTGGAATTTTTTGAAAATGTTGGATTGATAACTGTTAATAAATACAAACTCCTGGTGTTTTGCAAATTCCCTTAAAAGTTCCCCATTCCAGTAGCTTCCAGCGGTATACCCACTGAAATCGAACTATAAAGAACTGACACGAAACTCAAGAGCCAGACAGATTTCCACAAAAATTGGGTGTGCCCCTCCTTAATCGATTTCGAAGTTTTTCAACAAAATGCAAACTTTTTGGGCCTTCCATTAGCGCAATTCAAAAGTTGGGTATACCGCTGGAAGCTAATGGAATGAAGAACTTTTAAGGGAATTTGCAAAGCTCCAGGAGCTTTTTAACAGTTACTGATCCAACATTTTCAACAAATTCTAAATTTCAACATTTTTGTTTTTTCTGAATTTTCCATACAGAACTTTTCCATGAATTTTGCAATGTAAATAACTTTTCTTACAGCAAATTTAACGTTCTTTCAGGTGGCGCAAACCAGATTTTTCTACAGTCAGTAATTCTTAAGTTTATAAGCAATTTAGTGGACCTAAGTCGAAAAAAAAACCCAAAACCTTAAATTACTTCTTTATCGTTGAGATTTGGACAGGGATTTATAAGAAGTTTTTTGTGGCATATGGCGAGGAGAAATACCTCCTGAAATTTGCGACACTTATCGCCAGTCACCCTGTATAATGGACTTTAGTTGTATGGATTTTAGTCTAACTTACCAAATTGATCGCTGGGTTCAGAGGCATTCGGCTTCCTCAGGAATTTCCTGTAAAAGTTTTCAAATTTAATATTCCTCAAATAATTTGTGATCTCAGATACAGGGTGTTGCAGGTGCGAAAACTCCATCGGGCTTGGCAGACTTGTCGCGTCAGCAGAACAAAGTGGGAGGATTGGAAGGGCTAACAGAGTTTATCACAATTCCCCTCTCCGGTTAATATCACATTTATGAGCCTTAACAGGGATCTAATCAAAATCACTTACAATAGAAAGGACGTCGACTTACTTTTTAAGCTTGTTCGATATGGATTTGTACTGGGTCAAGAAATCCGACGGTGTCCGAACACTCATGCCGATCCTGAAATAAGTTGACCAAGACCTATTTAACAGAAGAGAAACAACAAATCAGCAAACCTTTGCTGAGCAAACATGATTTGAGGATTAATCTGTATAAGTTTATGCTAAGACTTCACTGTGATAAGTCGTAGTGCATGCTGTCTCAAGGCCTTCTACGCATACGTCATACCAGGGGTTCTAAGAGTATGGTCACCAAAACTCAAAAACATTTAAAGAGATACGATAAACTATTACTACAAATATACATAAAACTAAAAAACCAGACACCTGTATTTATCTGTTAATTGTCCGTAGTAACTGGGTTTTTTCACAGACATCACCACGTCCCGCTACGAATGGAGAGTTCATTTGTATTTATTATATTCATTTGTATATTCTGTTCCCATAATGATAATTCAGAAATCGTGAGGTGCGGTCTGGTGTGATGTAGGTTAACGTAAATTTACTTAACGATTGTGCAAAAAAGGTTTTTTTAAGTTTATCTCAATCGTCTTAAATTTATTTCTTTATCTTTTAATGTGTGGTGTTTAGTGACCGTTAGTTAATGATTATTTGGAGATCGTGAGATGCGGTCTGGTGTGATATAGGATTTAGAAAAATATTTTCTTTATCATGCCAACGTTTCGATCTTTATTGAGATCATCTTCAGGGCTTGGGATTTACAAGTATTATTTAAATTTAACAAATACATGTAGGATGTGGAAAGAAGTGAATTTGTACAATGCAAAAAAAAAATTTTTTATATTCAATCAAAGTCCCCATAAGATGTAGATGTAGATGTAGATGTAATTTTTTCAGGGTATGGTATACTGCGCCCTTTAAGAGCTATTGTATCCCCCTTTCTCTGCCTAACGCACATCGGTGAGTCCTATTTCATCAAGAAACTTGATTAATAGGCCCGGTTTCAGTGGTTGAAGCTCTTCTATGGTCACATTATACATCCCAAAACGTTTCCTCCTGCGGGCTAATGTAGCTCCGCAGTTTGTTAGTAAATAATGTGTTGGTGTCTCTTCTGCCTCCTTGCAGAATCTACATGTACCACCTTGGATTGTTCCAATTTTCTTTAATTGTCTATTTAATCTGCAGTGTCCTGTTAGGAATCCTGTTAGGATTCGCAGTCTGTTCCTGCTTCCTTTGACACATTCTGTGATTTCTTTCTTACCAAAATTGGTTAAAAGATTCTTGGATTGTTTCTGTCCAATTAGTGAATTTCATTGTTCCTTCATTTTCTTCTTGTCCTTCGGTCTGAGATATTCGTTAATAGTGTGGATTCCTATGCCACAGAAGGGTTCGGGTCCTATCACCGGTGTGGCAGCCCCTTTCCTCGCAAGGGTGTCCGCTTTCTAGTTGCCTTCTTCTCCCATGTGTCCTGAGACACAGCAGAGGCTGACTTTATTCTGCATACCTAATATGTTTAATTTGGTTTTGCAGTTCAGCACCATCCTTGAACTAATGATACTTGAGCTTAGTGCTTTGATGGCTGCTTGGCTCTCTAACATGATAGCTATATCCTTGTTTTTGTACCCTTTACTTAGATTGAATTGGGTACATCTTTCAATTGCATGAATCTCAACTTGGAAGATACTGGTGTGTTTTCCCATGGGTTCTGAGTATTTGGTTCCGGGTCCAAATATTCCTGCCCCCGTACCTTCCAGTGTTTTAGATCCATCTGTGTACCAAAGGATGGTGCCATTTTTAAAGGAGTTATTTCCCTTTCTTTCCCTTTCTTTTTTGGTACCCAGATATATTCGGAATTTTTGGTTAAACTCATACATCCTGTTCATGTCGTCTCTTAAAGTCCCCACAATGATTTAGAGTAAGAACTCAAATTTTTAGATTCATTTTATTGTTTAATTATATTAAACATCTAGTATTATTGATGGCTTTTACTACAATAAAGATTTAAAGTCTTACAAGGGGACGGAGCAGATTAGAGGGTCCGCGACTTCTTGTGAATAGATCTTGGTTTCGTCTTTTTTATTTTTTTATTTTTTTGTTATTATTATTATTATTTTTTAATTTCGCTGTTCTACATGATCAAACCAACTATGTGAATGTATCATTTTACGGCTATTTTATGTAGATTATAATAAAAAAAAATTAAAAGCTGTCAAAAACTTTCTAAAAACCAAATATTTTTCAAGTAAACTAGGTCATAATTTTTTTTCGTGAAATTAATATGAAATTTCGTTTTAGCACCTCTACAAAACCCTAAATCAAAATTTTTGTTTGAATTCAAATCTAAAAATCAAATCTAAATATCTCCATACATTGCTAGTTTCTCTCTAACTACTTTTCAATCATATAAACATGTTGTATGTACCAGTATTAGCACAAACATAACTTTGCGAAATGAGGTTAGAAAAAATAATTCATTGATTTTTGAAGGATAAAATTCAAGATTATATTTTTCGAAAAACTTCAAGCTAAAATAGCTTAAAAAAGAAAAGAATGTTAATAAAAACTGGGTAAAAAAGTAGGAATTCAAAATCAGGTAATCCAAAAAGGTAGGGGCGTCGGTGGCAGCAAGGTTTAGTCTTTGACTCGGCGCTCATCACTGTAAGGGAAAGGTCCCGGGTTCGAGTCCAGCGGCCCTGCATTCGAGCCCGACATAGTTACAAATGTTGTTTTTTCAAAAACACCGACACCCTGGGGGTTTATATGACTTCTGCTGTTGCGAACCCTCGTTAAAAAAAAAAAAAATTGATAATCAAAAAAGTTGAATTAATAAAAAGTTTACGGGAAATTTTCTTGTTTCTTGAGGTCGTCTAAGAATGCTTAATCTTTTTGAAGAATTGTTTGGCATTTTCGTCACAAAACTGCATCAAGTGTTGTAGGTCATTATACTTCTCACGAGAGATAGGTAGTCGGTCCGTAACCAAACAACACAAGATAGTCAACATCGATGGCGCGAAGTACCTACCTATCTAATAGGTTTACTAATAAAATAAATAAAAACATTACTTCCATACGCTCTTGTAGGAAAATGAAATTGACTCATTCTTCCCCTGTACCGCTCAGTATAGCTCGTTCTTCCCCCGTACGTTCTTTTTCAAACGCTTATTTCGACCATTTTAACTCACTTTTCCCCTGTTTTGAGATCACCATCGTGTTCGCTAACCTTCAATCTATAAGAAACCGTCATCATCCCATTTTCGATAAAAATGTCAGTTAACTCGTTTTTCCCCTCTGGTCTTCAACTGTACAATACAGCTCTGGATTACTTGCAACGATCCTAAACCAAAGTATAACCGAAGTTGGTCGATAACAGAAGAACTTCGCAAATTGCTTGGTTAGTACTGGACATGCCTTTCTACAACGACTTNACCAAAAACTTTCTAAAAACCAAATATTTTTCAAGTAAACTAGGTCATAATTTTTTTTCGTGAAATTAATATGAAATTTCGTTTTAGCACCTCTACAAACCCCTAAATCAAAATTTTTGTTTGTATTTAAATTTATCTATTTTTCCCCCAAAAAAATGTATACCATTTTTAAAAAGTCGCTCTTCAAATATCTAGTTGAAACGACCATAATTCAGAAACAGCTAAAAGGATTTTAGCGTCAGAAAACCATTTGAAAGAACAGGAACGTAGCTTTTTAACGACGTATGTACCATTAAAATATATAAAATATTTCTACACTGAAAGGCAAAAAGTTCCAACCAATTGATTTTTTTTTTTCATTTTCTCGATAAAAGAAAATTTTCCCTTAATTTGTCTCATTGTTTTTACCAATAAATATTTGTTTATGCTATGTTTTAAATTGGAAATATCAATTATAGAACACTTAAACCTTAATCTAAAGGATAAAGGATTTTTCAATGTTTACTTTTTACGGAATTTAAAATGTTTATTTAGTCTCATTGGAATTCTGAAGCAATAAACTGTTGTTTTCACTTTTGTTTTTTTAATTATGACCATATTAATTAATTATGAATTATTATTTTAATTATGAAGATGGACGTTCCATCAGGTATGCGGCTATTGCCATCGGAGTTCCTTACGAAACGCTGCGAGACGCCGTTAAACGTTTTCGAGAAACTGGGTTCTACCATAGGCCCAGTTCTGGACGCCATAGGGTAACAAAACCACAGGATGGCCGTTTTTTGGCTTTAAGAATTTTGCGAACCGCACCTTACTGTTGTTCAAGCGATTCACCAATTCCAGAATGTTCGAGGTGTCCGAATTTCTGAACGTGCTCGAAGAAGATTAAATCAGTATGGACTGATGGCTTTTCGCCACATAAGAAGACCAGAATTGACCAGAATACACAGAACTGCTCGGCTCGCATTTACTCGATAGCACATCAATTGGTCTTTGGGCGATTGATCGGCTATACTTTTTACAGAAAAGTGTAGATTTGCTCTACGATTTCCAGATGGGCGTGAAAGAGTGTGGAGAAGGCGAACTGAAAGGTACGAAGCCTATAATTTTTCCCAGAGCCAACCTTTTCAACATAGGTCAGTGTGGGTGGGAATTTCAATGGAGAGTCGCACAGAGTTGGTTGTTCTAGGGACTTTGACGGCCACTCGCTATGCGGATGAAACATTGGAACATCAAGCGTTGCCTATCCTCGTTGAAATCAGTGACAATCCTATTCTAATGCACGATAATGCCCGTCCACATGTCGCTCTCATAGTACAAATGGACCTTCAACAGCATAACATCAGGGTCTTAGCGTGGCCAGCCCGATCTCCAGATTTGAACCCTATCGAAAATTTATGAGATAACCTCAAAAAACGGATAAGAGCACTTCCATCACTTCCTGATACAGTCCATGATCTTGAGAGGACGTCTTTTTTTCTTTTTTCATTTTCCCTAGCAATTGACATTTTTTTAATTTTTAGATAAAGATGCAATTATTAAACATTAAAAAACGTGAAACTTTGATAAATATATAAAAATATGTATACAAATCAAGTTATCTTACAAGTGGGTGGAAATTTTAGCCTACCAGTGTATAAGAAAATGCACAAAATAGCAAACTTCTTTTTCAGAAATTAACCTCGTTGTATGGAAATGTTTGATACAAGTAGTTATATCATGCACTTGATGATTTTGTTAAAACGAATTATCCACCATGAAAATAGATCTCCTAGGTTTTGACCAAA